ACACAAGGCAGAGGAAATCTAGCTGAGCAGAAATGAGTGAGCCAGCCAGAATGCATTGAGGAGTTGTTTTGTAGGTGTATCTGTTGGGACTGGACTCCATAACTCACTTTGCTTGGTTGTAGTTTTCTGTCTTGAACAGAAGAACTTTTTCTCATGTCTGAAGGCTGAGAAGTACAACATGGACTTTCAGTCAGATTCAGTGACCTGGTGAGGGCATTACCTGGTTCATAAATGACCCTCTGCTGTGTATTAACACATGGGAGAAGAAATAAGGAGTTTCTGGGTCTGTATCTTTAACAAGGGGTGAATCTCATTTGTAAGGGCTTTACATTGGGAAAGTATGTACATATAAGGAAAGACATTGTTGGACATCTGAAAAGCTAGTGACCAGTGGAAAATATTCATAGCATAAGTTATTGACAAAGAGGTTAAATGAGAATATGTGAAGAATTTCCTCAACTCAAGTAGTCTCTAGGAATGGGGATAGTAGGACACAGGCTATGGAGGAAACAATGGGAGAGGCAGTCTTTTGGGATGGGGGAAAGGAGAGCAGTAGTGAAGGGGGTGGAGGAAAGAATCAAATACATTATTCCTCCCTTGTGTTATTTCTTGAGACAGTCTCACTAAATAGAACAATCTGTTCTTAATTAAATTCATAAAAATCTTCCTGCCTCTGCCTCTCTAGTGCTGGGGTTTAAGGCAAGTGACACCATACCTAGGTATCCCTTATGTTGCTCTACTCAGGCCACAGATGTGCAAAAGTACCCAAGATGCACCTGAAGTTCTTTGAGTAAGAATGCAGTAAGAGGCTGGAGCTATTGTAAGGGGATGGTGTAGCAGAAAAGGCACCACTGCACTGGTCATCGGGGGAAGGTGTCGGGTCTGCCATTCACTGTTGGAGAAACAGTGCCTACCCACAGTGCTTACCAGTCTGGACACAGTTGTTGGAAAGATTGGAATGAAGAGAGGAAGAGGAAGAGTGTGAGTGTGTCAGTCAGTGCTGGAGGGATAGAGGGAGAGAAGGAAGGAAATCAGGATCTACAGAAGGGAAGAAGTACTGGGGTGGTGGGAGGCAGAGAGCATCTCTCTAGGCCTAGTTGAACTATCTAACTATCCACATCTGCTGCTGAAGACAAGCATGTGTCAGTCTTGGGCAGTGCTCGAGATGAATGGTATAGAGCTGGGAGGGCACAGCTCTCCTTAGAATAGGGCTCTCCTTCTATAGGGCTCTCCTTAGAATAGGACTCTTCTTATA